AGTCACTTTCTGAAAAGAAATGAAGGTTCTAGGTGTGTATTTTAAGACTATAATAAATAGTCTCCACTGGCAGCAGAATATACTTTATAAATGTAGATCTAATAAGTTATAATACCCTCCTCTATGTTATCCCATGGTGGATGTTTATTATCATTCAAAACTAATAACCTTGCCTTCCTCCAGCAAAAATATCAGCTCCTGTGAGCTGCAGGAGCTTTTGTTCACATGCCAGCCAAAAAGCTAAATGTGAATATCCCTTCCTCTGACCACATCAATCATTTTATAACCACAGTCAGATAATTTTGCTCTTTCACCCCCTTTTTTCTTTCCCCACACCACAGATTTTATGGGATGACACTGAGTGACTGAGTTAGAGATGTGAAAAATGATCCACCCAGGCACCCCAAAAATCAGGTGGCAGCCCTTGAGAGGGCTGGAAATTAATGCTGTATGTGCATTAAAACTCTCCCTAAATGTACCTCCCTCAGCCACTGCTTATCTATGGGACTGAGGGGACAAAACTCTAAAATTTGGGGAGTAAAATTAAATGGAACCAAAATGTGGACCTGATCCTCTTCTCTTTGTTGTCCTTTACAGTTTTTCCAGGTCTCCTGACTTTTATAAAGAGCCAGGGTGAAGATGAAACTTCCAGTTTCCTCCTCTAGGAAAAACCCCAAACACCACACCATGAAAAGCTGCATAATTCCATCCATGGAGACAAAACATTTGGTGTCTTTTGAGGAGTATTTCAAAGAGAGAGGATTTTAAATCCAGCAGGAGCAATGAAATGAAGCCAAGACAACCCCAAAAACCTTCCCTGGCACCCATGAGGAAATTTGGGGAAATAATGAGGTGGTGCAAGGCCAGTTTTAAATCCTTGGAGCCACCCAGGGAAGGTGCTGGATGTAAATTTTTCTTCCTGATTTGTTGATTCTGCTGCACTTTTTCTCACTTTCTGGATTTTTCAGTCTCTTCTGGGCTGAGCTCTTTTGGAATACTCTTTCACAGGGAGTTCTGTTTATCTCAGTTCTCTGGGTCAGGAAGACAACTCTAAAGCTCGTTAGGATTTTGTTTCTTGTGTTTATTAGGGTTTATTAGGATGTTATCACTAAACTTGGCAGACTTTTCCAGACTTTTTGTTCAAGTTCAATTCATCTTGCCTTTTTGGCTCACTTTGGCTTTGCAGGCACAAAATGACCTTGAACTGTGTAGCTTTTTTATCTTTATTCTTATCTAATTAACAATAGACACATATATTATTTTTCTTAATGACTCAATGATCTAACACTTGTGTGCTGCACTGTGGCATTTTTTAATCTAATCCCTTACTATTACCCAAAAACTTCTAGAAGAAGAACATGAAGAAGAAAGAAGGAAAAGAGACAACACTTTAAATCTTCTATTTTGTTTTCTGCTCTTTAAACTAGCTTAAACTCTAAACTTTTTCACCCAGTGACTTAAGAAATTTTTTTAATCTATACACTTAGACTTTAAGCTTTTCTTTCTAATTTTAACAGTTGTTTTCGTGTAACACCATGAAAACATGCCCATAAATTTCATGTTAGATGAAATCCAGTGTTTTGCTGGATCTCAGAGATAAGGGCACACACTCTGTGCCTCTGACTCCAACACTGGAGGCTTCAGGGGTGTGAGGAGGGGTTGAGGATATTCCTGCTGCACATCTGGCAGAGAGAGCAGCAGCTGCACTGCCCCGATCCGTGGCAGAGAGGGGGTGGGAGGAGGTGGAGGATAAGGCTTGGTTACAATGTGCCTTTCAAACTTTTATTGATTTCCTAATCTCCTCTTTCAAGAAGTGAAGAGGGGTGGGAATGAAGAGAAGAATTTTGCTGCGAGCCAGGCTTGCTTCCCCTCAGATCTGCCCACCCTCACCCACATCCAAGCAGGGAGCTCTTCTTACCAGCCAATTTTACATTTTTTTCCCCTGAAAAGATCTGAGCAGGAGTGAGCAGTGAGAGGGCCTGGCTCTGTTGAAACAGCAGAATTTACAATGCCAGGGTGTGGAACCTCTCTCACTTGTCTGCTGAACCTGAGCACGCCCCAAAGCCCTGATCCTTAAACATTGATTAATCAAGCTGTGAGAGATTAATCAAATGAAATTAATTTTAAGAGTAAAATGAGTCCATACTTAAGGGCTTGGCTTAGCTGAGGTCCAGCAGACAGTAAGAAGGACATGACATCATTTTGCATTCCCAGTGAGGAGGCTGAAAGGGATTTCTGGCATTTCTGAGGGAATTGGTGCAGAATTAGAGGCTGCTGAAGGTAAAACTGAAGTCGGGAAGAGTGCACAGAGAAACGCCAAAATTACTGGGTCAGAAATCCTTGGCAGAACCCCCTGCAGCCCAGGGAAGGGGCACAGCAGCCGGGTCTGCATGAGAGGAACAGCTCAGAGGTCTGGAGAGAGAGCAGGAGCAAAGGGGTAGGAGTGATACGGGCAGGGAAGGAGTAAAATGAGAAACAATGAAAGAGACAGCAGTAAAACATGCATCTGTTATTTAATCCTGGGTAAATACCCAGATTAGTGACATCAGATTCTGCTGTTTGTTTGGAGTTTACTCTGGAGTCGTGGCTCCCAAGGCTGAGGCAGCTGGGACAGAGCCCATGGATTCAGCCCAAGGATTTATCCCAGACGTGGCTGCTCTTGTTCAGCACAGGCATCAGGCAAAAGTAAAGTTTGGAAGGAAAAATTGTCTTTCCAGCCCTTGTGCTCATAAAAATAAAGCTGGCAAGAGCTGGCAGGGTGAGGGAATTCGGAAGTTTCATAAATTGTCACATCATTTCACAGTCACTGGGTGCTTAGATGGGCCTTGAAGGTCATGAAGGCTGAACATGGACATTGTGTCTCTTTTTTTTTATTGGTTTTCATCCCAGCTGCCATTTCATTTCCCCACAACGGCTGAGTCTGGTTGAAAGAATCCCAGAATCATGAAAGTTGGAAAAAACCCCAAGATTATGGAGTCCCAGCTGTGCCCCCAGCTGTGCCCGATGCCCACCTTGTCCCCAGCCCAGAGCCCTGAGTGCCACGTCCAGCCCTTCCTTGGGCACCTGCAGGGATGGGCACTGCAAAGCTCCCTGGGCAGCCCCTGCCAAGGCCTTTCCCTGAAGAAACTTTTCCTAATATCCAACCTGAGCCTCCCCTGGCACAGCCTGAGGCCTTTCCTTCTCATCCTGTCCCTTGTTCCCTGCTAGAAAAGGCTGACTCCCAGGCGAGAAAGCAAAACGTGCTCACTTTGTAAAGAAATATCAACAAACACATCCCACACCAGAGAAAAAAGGCTGATTTTTGATTTGATATCTGACTGGCTCAGCCCACAAGGAACATCCAAGCCACCACTCACCTGATCCCACTGGATGCTCCTCAGCTGAGCTGTAAAGGGAGACGTTTCCAGCAGGCTGCTGATGCTCCTGGAGATAAAGGTGTTGAGCTCCTGCTGCTTTCTCCACTTGGCAGCCAGGAGGGGAAGGCTGGTGCCCAGCAGTGAAAGCGTTACCGAGCACCAGGGGCAGCTGGAGCTGCTGAGGGAGGCTCATGGAAAACATGACGCCGAGCAAGCAGGGCTAATTAACGCCGGCTGCTTAAATTAGAAAGCTTTTAATGGCTAATGTTTAAAAACAACACCTTAATGACATCTAAAAATAGCTGCTGCTGAGCCCCAGAGGGTTTTGACCTCCATTAAATGGGGGGGTTCCATTTCCCAGGACTGCTGGTGTAAATGACATTTTCCTTTGAGGTGCTGCTCTCCCCGGGATCAGCTGCAAAGCCTCGTGCCTGACCTCGGGATCCTCTTTGCAAACACACCAGAGGGAGCTGGATCGCTGCTCGGGATGGGGGCAGCGCATGTGTCCTGATGAGGAACTGGACAGGGATAATCTCAGGGTCGTGCTCATCGTGAAGGAGTGGGAGATTCCCAGACCAGGCAGATAAAGGGATGAGGAAGGTGCTGCTGGGATTAAGGACACAGGAGACCCGAGTTCCATTTCCAGCTCAGTTGGAGATGTCTTGTGAGATGTCTTGAGGTCCCTCATGGTCCTGCTGTGACCCAAAACCGTGTGGAGATCTCCCTGATCCTGGAGGAATATTCCCGGGAGAATTTCCCTGTGGCAAGCTTAAATCCAGATGCACCACACAGAAAACACATAATAATATAAAAAGGAAAAATACTGCTTAATTTTCCTTAACAAGGGAATCAAACCCAAAGAACCTGCAAGGCAAATGTACATGAGGTCTTCTCGTGGTTGGGACAGAAATAAAATATCTCCAGTAGTGCTGGAGGTAACAATTTGCTCCTTTGTACTGTGCTTGTCCCTAACTCATGGCCTGTCTGTGATATCTGTGATAGCTGAGAGAAATCTGCAGCCTGACCTCCCCTGGAATGAGGATTTTGGATATAAAACCTTCTGTGATTTTTGTCAGGGTATGCAAATGAGGTAAATTCCTTCAGCAGCCACATAAACTCAGGTGTTTTCATTTATGTTTTCATTTATGCCTTACATAAAGAGTACCTGAAAGGCCAGGAATTTGCAACAGGAGGAAAAACTTTCCTGAAAACAGGCACACTAAAGGAATCTGCTCTTTGGTTTGCTCTTCCACATCCCATTCCTCCCCATCCCATGGCACACTCCAAATAAAGGAATGTGCAGAAACACAGTCCTCAGCCTGTGGTGTTGTCCTGCCCAGGCAATAAAATCCTTGTGCTTCTCCATTTTTCCCTTTCTTTTCACAACATCCAAGGGATTGTTTTGGGAAGAGCTGAGCCATGCTACAGGAAAGCTGGAGAGAGACAATTGCCAAGGGCTGCAGGGCCAGGAGCCAGGGAATGGCTGCCAGGGGCAGAGGGCAGGGCTGGATCTTGGGATCTTGGGCAGGAATTGTTCCCTGGCAGGGTGGGCAGGGGCTGGGATGGAATTGCCAGAGCAGCTGGGGCTGCCCCTGGATCCCTGGCAGTGCCCAAGGCCAGGCTGGACATTGGGAGCTCCTGGGACAGTGGGAGGTGGCCCTGCCCATGGAATTGGCTGATTTTTACTGCCTCTTTCAACCCAAACCATTCCATGATTTTGCTGTCAGGCAGAGATCAGGGAATGCCACAAGAACAGAGACCAGCCCTGGCACTGATGTCACCCCAAGCTCTCCAGACTCGTTAGAGACAAATCTGAGCTAATGGGAACGTGGAGCAGCTTTCACTTTGCTCCCTCTGCATCCTTCTGCTCTCCTGATGGCATTGATTAGTTGATCCAGATGGTTCTCCTCCCTTTTCCTGCTCGGGCCAGCTCCTGCAAACACTTCCACTTTCTCCTCCGAGCAGGAGTTCAGCACGTGCACGGGGCTTGGCAGAGCTGGAGCCTAAATTTGTTCCTGTTTCTGAATTCCAAGCTGGATTGTGACGCAAGGGTTATTTTATATATGAAAATATCGGATTTCTGCCCACACACATCATGCGTGATGGATAACAGAGCTGGCAAGGCAGCCACTGGGAAAGGCCACTCACTCTGGGATTTACACAGAAGGAAGAGTCTTTCCTTGTTTTTCAGCTTGGATTCTTACATGACCAAACTGTGAAGGTGTTGCTGCACAGAAGCTCCAGGATGTTCGCCTGATTCCACATTTCACCCACGACCTGAAATCATGACCTGAAACTCCACAGATCCTAATGAAAATTATTCCCCTTTGAGTTCCTTCATGGAAATGCAACCTCAAGAAATACCGGCCAGTCAGGAAAGTGATTTTAATCCAATATTTGTTATCCTCTTCCACAGGTTTTAAATCACTCTTTTTACTCCCTACTTTGAGCAAATAAATACACCCTTATTGTTTTCCTAGTCCTGCTATGACCTTCTGGGAATGTTTTCATCATGTAAAGCAACCTGCAGTTCCCTACTTTATAAATCTCCTTCATTCCAAGTGTTAACACTACCTAATTCTCTGCTTTAGAGAGGAAATCATGTTTGTTTTTTTGAAGAGCCTGCTGGGAAGAGGAATATTTGCATTTCAAATATTTTTTTTTCCATTTCATAAATTGTCTTGAGTTCTCTTCCCAGCGGGCAGCACAAGGCTGTTTATACAAGGGAAGAGGGAAGCTTGCTTTCCCATTACTTCCACAAAAATACGATTAACAGCGATAACTATGCTAATTATTGCTCTTGGAATGCACCTCACTGGCTGGAGAGGCAATGCTTTGGGGTAATAATTAACTCCTTTTTCCCTCAATTACCTTTTATTAGGAGAGCAGGAGGTGTCAGAGTAAAACAGCCGCGTATCTTCCAAGAAAAGCTGGCGTTTTCCAAGGGAACCCAAGCGGAGGTGCCTCATTAAGAGAACGGGGCAGGACAAACATTCTCATGGCGAGCTGGGCCTTGGAGCTGCTGGGCTTCTCCCTGAGCCTGCTGGGCCTAATTGGGACGTTAATTACCACCGTCCTGCCGCACTGGCGGCGCTCGGCACACGTGGGTACCAACATCATCACGGCCGTGGCCTACGTCAAGGGGCTGTGGATGGAGTGCGTGTGGCACAGCACCGGCGTCTACCAGTGCCAAGTGCACCGCTCCCAGCTGGCGCTGCCCGCCGACCTCCGCGCCGCCCGGGCCATGATGGTCATCTCCTGCCTGCTGGCCGTGCTGGCGGCCGGCGTCGCCGTGGTTGGCATGAGGTGCACGCACTGCGCCGAGGAGAGCCCCGCCAAGGCCTCCATCGCCGGCTCCGGCGGGATCGGCTTCATGGTGGCCGGGCTGCTCTGCCTCGTGCCGGTGTCGTGGAGCACCAACGACATCGTTACGGATTTCTACAACCCCACGCTTCCCGCTGGGATGAAGTATGAGATAGGGCAGGCTCTTTATCTGGGATTTGTCTCCTCGGCCTTGACCATCTTGGGTGGTGCCCTGCTGTGCACGTCGTGCCTCGGGAACCAGACGCCTTTCCAGCCGCATTCCGGGCCTGGAGAGCCTCCCTCCTCCAGGAGCGCCTCCAAGGGCAACCACGCTCCTTCCCTGACATCTGCATCCCACAGCGGCTACAGGCTGAGTGACTACGTGTGAGTTCCGCGGGATCTTGGCCTCGGGAATCCCGTGCGTGGCACGAGGGAACTCGGAACCGGCGTTGAAGTTTGGCGTTGTTTATTCCTTCCTTTTCTTCCCTGAGGAGGAAAGGATGTGGGCACAGAACTGCTGCCTGCAAAACCTGGAAAATAAAGGCAAAAGGAGGCTGAGATGTTCCCAAGGCAGCACATCCCTGTCTACCTCCAATCACAGCTTTGCAGGCAGGTAATTCAAGGGGTATTTTGTTAAAAATGACGGTTCGGTTTGGAGTCAGTGCCCTGTGAAGCAGAGCTGGCCACATCTCTTTGTTTCTTCCCAAAAAAGACAGTTTCCCCTAAAACCTGGAATTTCTTGGGGATACACAGTGATTTCCAGCACTGATTGCCTGCTCAGTTCCTCATTTCCATAATTCATGAATATTTCGTCATGACAAGGTATTAATTTCGCTTTGACTTAAGTCTTTGTTTGTTTTTTTAGAGTCCCTTGAAATAAGAATTTCAGTGGCACCGTGACAGATGTATTTGACAGCCTGTTACAGCCAATATTTGAAGTTATATTACAATGTTTTGACCTGATCAAAATAAAATTTCAGCGCATTTTTGAAATGCATCACGAGGGAGACAAACCTTCTCAGAACTGGAGTTTATTACAAACTTTGGGAATAGAATGGAAACAGACATTTGATAGTAAATATACTTTAAAAATTAAAATTAAAAAGTCTCAGAATTTGTCACGTTTAGCTTTTGAGCAGATTTAGCATTCTACACAATCTCTGCGTTATAGGGAGTGGAAAAACCATTTCTAGAATCCTGTTCCCAAATCCCATGTAATGAAATGTGCTCATTTCTTAGGATGAATGCTGGTATTTTGTGCCTGAAGGTGCATTGGGGTTAGCAAGGATATTTCCATCCCCTCCAGTGATTTTTGGGGAACTTCCAGTGGGGCACAAGGCACCCTCCATGCCAACATTCATGGACTGTGACCACTGCTTGTCAGGAGTACCAAATCCAGACATTTCCTTCTAAGATCCTTACAAAATTCCATCGTTCCACAGGGCATTCAAACAATCAAAAATCAAAATAATGAGCAAAGAAGCCCAGATCTCTCCATTTCACATTACAGGCACGCACATCGTGACATAAAATTATGATAAAACAGAGAATCAATGGATTTCACTGAAATCAGAAATTTATACAACTTTCATCAGATGGACCAACACACTGAAAAACAACAATTCCAAGACCTAAGAGGCAGCAATCCTTCATTTGGCAAAAAAAAGAAAAAATTGTTTGCAATTATATTGTCACCTTGTTTCACCTCCAGAGCTGGGAGATTCTTAACATTTCCCATGGTTCCACTCTGAATCTTCCTTTTTGTGGCTGATCACCATTGCCTTTGGCTTGGTGTTGATTTGAATTGGGACAGAGGGTTTTCAGCGTTGATTCATGTTAACATCACGATTGTTTTTAAAAACAAATGGAATTTCTAAGCAATTTTCTGAGACCAACAATAATAGAAGTGATCTGGGACCTGACTTTGGGTATTTGTGGTGATAGGACAAGGGGAATGGGTTAAAACTGAAGGAGGGCAGGGCTGGATCTTGGGATCTTGGGCAGGAATTGTTCCCTGGCAGGGTGGGCAGGGGCTGGGATGGAATTGCCAGAGCAGCTGGGGCTGCCCCTGGATCCCTGGCAGGAATTGTTCCCTGGCAGGGTGGGCAGGGGCTGGGATGGAATTGCCAGAGCAGCTGGGGCTGCCCCTGGATCCCTGGCAGTGCCCAAGGCCAGGCTGGACATTGGGGCTTGGAACAATCTACATTCATAGAGTCACAGAATCCCAGAATTATTTGGGTTGGGAAGGACCCTAAAGCCCACCCAGTGCCAGCCCTGCCATGGGCAGGGACACCTCCCACTGTCCCAGGTGCTCCCAATGTCCAGCCTGGCCTTGGGCACTGCCAGGGATCCAGGGGCAGCCCCAGCTGCTCTGGCAATTCCATCCCAGCCCCTGCCCACCCTGCCAGGGAACAATTCCTGCCCAAGATCCCAAGATCCAGCCCTGCCCTCTGCCCCTGGCAGCCATTCCCTGGCTCCTGGCCCTGCAGCCCTTGGCAATTGTCTCTCTCCAGCTTTCCTGGGGCTCCTTCAGGCCCTGCAAGGCCACCCTGAGCTCAGCCCAAAGCTTCTCCTGGCCAGGCTGAACAATGGCAGCCTTTCCTGCCAGCAGAGCTGCTCCATCCCTCTGCTCATCCTGGAGCCTCCTCTGGGCTCTCTCCAGCAGCTCCAGCTGCTCCCTGGGCTGAGCCCCAGGGTTGGATACCAGTGCAAAGTGTTCCTGCAGGGGGTTGCAACTGGATGATCTTTAAGGTCCTCTCCAGCCCAAATTCTGTGGTCACTGACCCTGCAAACATCTCGGTGACCTCAGACCTTGAGGTGCAGGGAATGAGCACAAAGTGCACAAGAGCCTCTTAGAGAAGATTGGAGACAAACTGTTCATGGTCCATGATGGATTTCTGGGATGCTTTTTTCAGCCCAATGGAGGTGGTCGATTCCTTGGGCTTTTCCTGTATTTCCATTCTAACAGATCCTGCCAAGTGATTTGATATCAACCTGAGGCAGGGCTTTGGACAGCCATGAATGCTGGAGCTCAGTTCCAGGGGAGGAAACGGGCTGTGGCTCATTAGGGGGGTGTTTGCCATATAATGATAAATTCATTCACTTGCCAGGGCTTGGTGTGGTGGGATTACTCCTGTGTAGGGCTGTTTTTACTGCAGCAATCCCCAGCCAGGCAGAATATGTGACAGGAGTAGGAACAGTTTATGAAATCTTGGCAAAAATACCTGGAAGTGCTCAGATATCAATAAAGAGGGAAATGGTTTCTTTCATAGAGCTGTGAATGAGTGGATCTTACCCCATGCTAAAACTGACATCACTTTCCTTTCCTTTCCTTTCCTTTCCTTTCCTTTCCTTTCCTTTCCTTTCCTTTCCTTTCCTTTCCTTTCCTTTCCTTTCCTTTCCTTTCCTTTCCTTCTTTCTTCTCCATTTCTCTCTCTTTCTTTTCCTTCTTTTTTTCTTTCCTTCTTTGATCTATGTAAGATGTTATCCCTTCCTTGCATGCCTTGCTTTGCCATGCAACATGAGAGAGATTTCCTTTTTCACTTGTTTTCTTAAAAGTTATAAATACAGCTTAGTCCCCACATTCCTATTTCCCACATTTCCTATTCCTATAAATAAGAGGCACCTGGACATGTTGATTCCCAACTTAATTCAGATCATCCTTTCCAATTCTTCAGCCCATGAAATCATGTTTAAACCTTCACTGAGAATCCTGACAGTTTCAGAGAGTTTCCCATAAACTCAAACATCTGAATGGGTTTCAAATGCTCTATGGACAAGAAAGGCAGGATAGACCCAACCTCCCCTCCTTTTTCCTGGGGGAAAAGGTGGTTAATTTTATTTTCTGCTTTAAGCAGGAAGAAAATGCATTAATTTCATTAGCTCACACTTCAAAGATGTTTGGTAAGCAAACTGTTGGGAAGTGGAGTGAATCAATGCAGAGATTTGACCTGTTGAGAGCACATGTAGAGACTTCATAGAGATGTGTGGATATTTCAAATGCTGGAATTCCGGCTCCATTGACTTCCCTGAGGTCACAATTTCACCCATAAGCTCATTATTATCGTCAATACTCCCAAATCTATTAGAGAGCTTTTAACTAAAAGGCCTCCAGAGCAAAGAGAATCAAAGTCAGGGGGATTTTGCCCCCTCAAAGGGATGGGATGGCAGGGAAAGGCTTTTGTTGGCCATTTCACAAAGTGTTTGGTATTGAGCAGAGCAGCTGCAACCCGTGGGATGTGTGAGGGAGTTCTCCCTTCCACTGGAGTCAAGGACAAGCAATTTTATTTTCAAAATGTCATAATCACTGGTATTGATCACCAGGGGTGCTCTCAGATCCATCCAGGCTCAGGCTATTGCCACTGTTGCTACCCCTGGCAATTCCAGCCCAATTAGGCTGCCTTGCTAATGAACCTCAGCTGCTTTTCACGGCTCTGTGTGGGAGAAAAGAGCTCATTGACAGAGCAATCCCAGCTCTGCCCTGCCCTGAGCTGCCTCTTCACTTTATTCAGTGAAATAAATATGTTATATGGAAAACACAGAGAGCAAAAGTTCAAAAGCATCAATAAGCCTTGAAAATCAGAGTTAGGACTGAAGTGCTTGGGAGGGGTTGTGGCTGCCCCTGGATCCCTGGAAGTGTCCAGGGCCAGGTTGGACACTGGGGCTGGGGGCAGCCTGGGACAGTGGGAGGTGTCCCTGCCATGGCAGGGCTGGATGATCTTGAAGGTCTCTTTTAACCTGGGTGATTCTGTGAAATACACAGTAAAGATCAGATAAAATAACACCAGATTTGGGTTACATCATGTTTGCAACGTTAGAACATTTTAAGTCCACTCACTCTTGAAAGGAAGTTGAGGATGAAGAATCTGGAAATTGGGACAGTTCAGAAATATTTTACTTTCACTGAACACTGTGAGCTCAGGGAATCAGCTTTGCACTAGCCAATGTTTTCTAGAGTTTTGTAGAATTGGCATTTGCTTCCTCTCCAAGTGAAAACTATCAAGTAAACCAGCAGGAGAAAAGTGGAAGCAAAGAAAAGGAATTCCCATCCCCAGTAAAATCCAATGTTCCTTTAGTGACCTGACCACGTAACAAATGAGGCAGTGCTGGATCCTGATCCCCACAAAACTCCTGGCACCATGACCTGGCAGATGTCACTCCCTCACCCCTGGGGTGAAGCTCTCCCAGCCCATGGAGTCCCAGCTGTGCCCGATGCCCACCTTGTCCCCAGCCCAGAGCCCTGAGTGCCACGTCCAGCCCTTCCTTGGGCACCTGCAGGGATGGGCACTGCAAAGCTCCCTGGGCAGCCCCTGCCAAGGCCTGAGCTCCCTTTCCATGGGCAAATTCCTGCTGCTGCCCACCCTGAGCCTCCCCTGGCCCAGCCTGAGGCCTGAGCTCTCCTCCTGTCCCTGTTCCCTGGCAGCAGAGCCCGACCCCCCCGGCTGTCCCCTCCTGCCAGGGACTTGTGCAGAGCCACAAGGGCCCCCTGAGCCTCCTTTGCTCCAGGCTCAGCCCCTTTCCCAGCTC